ATAATTATGTTTTTAATATAATGGTTGTCATAGCTAAACCAAGCGTAAGACAATATGAGCAATAACTCTGTTATGACTTTTCCCTACAAAACTAATAAATTTTTTCTTATTTATTTTAGCTATATGCATGGCCCCTTCTTGAAACTGTGTTCTCAGAAGTACTGACGAGAGAGGAGTGGCTAAAATTATTTGATAATGTCTTCTCCAACCATCCTTCCTTCCTTCTGATGACTGTTGTAGCCTACAACACATGTTCCAGAGCTCCTTTGCTCAACTGTAACCTTAAAGATGATTTCGAGGTAAAGATCCTTGTTCTTAGGTAGCGGATTCTCTTTTTCAGTTGAAAATTTTATTTATTTATTGAGTACCTGTTGTATGTCAGGCACTGGTGCTAGGAGGTAGGAATTTGGTAGAAAACAGTTATACCCCATCCGGGCCCTTGCATGGTTTATAGACAATTCACTAAGCAATTACAGTAAACGGTTAGCCTTAAAATCATAGCTTCAGAAAAGAATCATGATAATATTGGAGTTTTGTGCTTTATAGGATATTTAACAGTTGGCTCGTTTATTCTGTGCACGATCGTATCAGTGACTCATCTGCTGTGTGATAATCTAGATGCTTATTACATGGCGTTCAATGGTAACTGAGAATTTTGAGACTTAGTGGGAAAGAGCATTAGAGGTGGTTTTCAAAAGAAGATATTCTTTTGGTTGATAGGATGAATTAAGTTGGGTTTTTTGTGTTTGTTGCTTATTTTGTGGTTCCTCTCAAATTAAACTTTATTTTTACTTCATGCTCATCAGATAGAAGATATATATATATATCTTGTATTATATATACTATAATATGCATCATACATATTAAAATTTATATATATATATATATATATATATACATATATATATATATATTAGAATTTGGACTGCCAGCAGAACAAGATAACATTGAAACATTTCAGATGTTTTTTAAAAATCAAGCTAATTTATTTTCAAAGCCTAATTTATTTTTAATTTATTTATTTTGGATTTTGAAAGGAAAAAAATCCAAATAGAAGAATTTGTTCCATTGTTGAGAAGCATTCTTCTTCTATTATAAAGGGAGCCTTCAATTTGAATTAAAATGTTAAAAGTGTTATTTCAAAAGTTGTGAAATTTTTTTACATTTTGAAAATAGGAAATTGAATCTTCATTTTAAAACTTGAGCTAAGAAAAGCTTCAGTAAATTTGAAAAAAAAAATCCTCTAGAAGATAAATGCATATTTACATTTTTAAACCCCTGTTTTAATTCTACCTATAATTGCTTTGTTAGGTAAATCGATTTAAACACAAAGTTTTCTTACAGTATTTTTTTCACCATCGGAATAACCTGGATATAAGTGTTGTGATTAGAGAAGTTTATCATCTCATGGACACCACGCCTGCTGATATTCATCCGGACAGCATGCTCGATGCTTTCGTGGCACTGACAAAAGGACAGTATCCAATATTTAATCAATATCCAAAGTTTATTGTGGACTATCAGACACAGGAACGAGAGAGAATAAGGAACGATGAATTGGATTACTTAAGAGAGAGGTAATCATGGCATAGTTGTTCTTCAGTAGAAACAAATATCTGTTGTAAATATGAACAAGAAAAGTTTTTATGAAAAATACATGCAAATTTTTAAGTATTTGTGTAAAATCAGAATTTGAAGGCTGGAAATGTCTTTAAAGATGTTTAACTCTTACCTATAGAAGTCAAACAATTATATACTAGTCAGATACACATTTTGTGTTTTGATTGGTTGTTCTGGGACTTAAATTACTCAATTTTCTTGTTTGCATTGTCATATAATAAATGTTACTTACTTAAGGCAGACAGTTGAGAATATGCAAGCTGAAGTAGACCAGCAGAGAGTTGAAGATGAAAATTGGAATCAAAAACAAGAACTACTTCGGAAAGCTGAAGAAACAAGGAGAGAAACACTCTTACAAGAGGAGGAGAAGATGATACAACAAAGACAGAGGTGTGTTTTAGCACTTTGAAAACCATTGGGACATACGAGTTAGTTGAATTTTTATTTTTTTATCATAGGAACAACCTATGTATAGCAGCACCCAGCTGTGGAATTTCCAGCAAACAAATATTTAAGTTAATAAAAAGAAATTTGTATATATGCCACTTTTCAAAAGATTGGGATATATATAGTAAAACGTAATTCTAAAGCTCTGCGGAATGTGATACAACTTTGTACTGATGATTCAGCAGTAATGCAGGATCCATTGTACCTTGGAGGACACTGTTAGAAACATTTCTGTACAGTGGACAGAAATGCCGTGTAATATAGCGCTGGACAAATCACCGTTAGTGGAGCATAACTTTTTAAACTGTATTGTAAACATATCTGTATGACCTGAAAATTGAAACGGAAAACAATTGTCTCATTATACATTTCATACTTTGGAGGACAATGGAAGAAGTATTAAATGCTTACTCAAAAAGTATATTAATAAGGTAAATTGTTCAAATTAATTAAGATTAAGGGATGAGCCTGATTGAGGAAACTAACTCACTTCTCTATGTGTTTATTGATTCTTATTCTTGGGTGGGACTTTATGAAACAGATTTCTAGTATGGGTTAAAAATTATAGATGACGTACTACAGAATTATACACTTGAAACCTATGTAATTTTACTAACCATTGTCACCCCAATAAATTTTAATTAAAAAAAGAAAAGGAAAGAAAGGTTAATCATGTTTTTACTAAATCTTAATACAGTCTCATTTATATTTGGTTTGAAAAATGTAATAAAGTTATTTTATCCAGAAAAAAGAAAAAGAGAATCACTGAACTGACCCATTAGCCTTCTACTAAAATTCTAAAAGAATAAGCATACATAATCTTTGGTAATGTTGGAACATTTTTGGCGTTCTTCCTTCAGATGAAGGATATCAATTTTATTGAGATGCTCTGTAGACATGTTAAGAACTTTTCAATGTGAAAAGGAGAGCCAATTGCGTATGGACCGCTTGTCATTTTCCTAAGGGTAGACTTGTTTTATAATTGGGCATCTTTCATGTATATATTATAAATACAGCTGAGTTACAATGGCACCGGCCAAATTGGGAAAGTGGACCGAAATAGGTGGCAGGCCTTTCACTGTTTTGAAACATAATATTTTTCCCTTTAAATCTAATTGGACAGAGTTTTCATTTGTTCCTCTTGGTGTATTTTGTATTTAAGACTAGCTGCTGTGAAAAGGGAGCTAAAAGTAAAAGAAATGCACTTACAAGAAGCTGCAAGAAGGCGTTTTTTGAAGCTTCAGCAAGATCAACGTGAAATGGAACTAAGAAGACTGGATGACGAAATTGAGCGAAAGGTTTATTATTCTTACCTTAGTACTCATACATCGTCTCCATAGTCTCCCTTAGATGGAGTGAGCGCCTTCAAGTTAAATATTACTCCTAGAGTAATTCACAACGAATGCTAAACAGCCCCTTTAATTTTATTTACTTTTTCCCTTGGCTGTTCTTACTCTCTTTTGTATTTCATCACCCCCGCCTCTGAGCTGGCAGTTCGTGGTATTTTTTGCTCCTTGGGTGTATGTCCTTGCACATCCCACTGTAGTTTGTCTCTTTATTACTCTCTGCTTCTCCTATTATAGGTACTTGATGGTGTGTTCTTACCTTTACAATGTCTAACACATTGCCTTATGAATGCAAGTAGTAATACAGTCATTAAATGTGTACTCAATAAATGAATGAGGTCATATGGCTGATGGGTTATAGTTTGTTTTTTTCTCAAACACATATCTTAGTTATTATGACTTCTAAAAAATGGAGACTTTAGGCAGCCAAGTATTTAAGACAGTTCCTAAGATTTTTCTATCTAAAGAGTGCCTTATCCAAACCCTCTACTGTATGGGAGTGAAAAGCTTCCAAGTAATCAAATTTTGGAAAAAGGTGAACTTTAAATTAACTAAGTCAAAACAGGGCATATACAAGTTAAACCTGGAGTTACTACTTGCCAAACCAAGTTTATAAAAGTATAGAAACTTAATCAAAAGGAACATTAAATACATGTTTAAAAAGATTAAACATTGTCTGTTTTTACCCACCGCAAATTTAAATCGCTCAAGTTTTTCTAACTCATAATATTGGCTAATGTAATATGGTAAGAACTGCCATCTGTCCTCCAGTCTGGGTAAATGAGCATATGGTAATTGTGCTTTCTTTTTTAGAAAATTAAGCTGACTCTAACTCAGACATTATTGTTAGATTCCACAGTGAATGCTAACACATTGTCAATTACTCTGATTTCAAAAACCCAATACCTATTTTAAATACTTTTAGTGGGTTGTTCAGATTACAAGATCATTAAATCTATTAAACAAAAAGTATTTTGTAAATTCGTGCTGGTATTCACAGTTTGTTGTTTGGCCATAGATACATATGAGAGATCAAGAAATTGCTACCACAGTCAAAGACCTAGAAATGAGACATCTGGAGCTCGAATCACAAAAAAGACTTTATGAGAAGGTATAAATTAGCTATTTTCAATATAAGAAAAGCAGGGTTTGTACAAACTCGTTTTAGACTCTATTGACTCATGGTTATTGAATGTTCATTTTGTTTTTTTAAGCAGAAAATTGTGTCATCGAGGATTGCAAGGGAGCCAAAATGTTTGAATATACAGAGTTTGTTGTAATTCTTTAATATATGTTTCTCTTAGCAACTTAGTTTAGTGTCTGAAGCACCAGATTTTGCCTCAGAGTCTTCTACCAACTTAATAGTTTTCCTGTATCTAATAGTGACTACAAAATTACCCTAATACTTCACAGGGACCTTATAAGGTAAATCAGGCGAGAGCTGTAAAGTACTTTAAATTGGAGTTTTCTGGAATCAAATCAGCAAGTATCTACTTAGTACCTATAATTCAGTTCCCAAGACACCGGAAAAAAGGAACTTTGTTAATATAAATATGCGTTATTTGGGAAAAGCATTTTGTTACTCATTTATTTGGTGTTGAAACCATAAGTTTTCACTTCCTTCAGCCATCTTAAAGTAAGATTTTGAGTTTGAAATTGTAGTACCTGCAAATACATAACAGATAACATACATATGTTATTCACATTAAATAAGATTTAAAACATACAGCATTCATTCATATGTACACTTTTTGAGTTTTCACTCTGAAAATAGGATTGTGGCACTAGGGTGTATCATTTTAGAATTAACAGAAAATTTGCAAGAAAAATACTAAGAATTTCCAAATATTTTTCTTTCATATTCTCTAATATTAACGTTTTGTTAAATTTACATTATCTTTCTCTACCTCCCTACACACACACACACACACACACACACACACACACACACACACACACTTTTCTGAACTGTTGAGGAAGACTAAGTTGCAGACATGATGCCTCTTTACCCCTAAATACTTGATTGTATATTTACGAAAACCAAGGAATCCTTACTACATAACCACAGTACAATTATCAAAGTCAGGAAATTAACATATTACCTGTTGTGTAAACCTTATTCACATTTTATCAGTTGTCCTAAAAATATCCTTTAGAGCAAATGAAAGTCATAAGGTAACCCACCTTTTCAGTTGTCATGTCTCTTTACTGTCCTTTGAATTGGAACCATTCCCGAGTCTATCTTTATATTTTATGACATATATTTTATGACACTGATACGTTTGAAGCATATAGGCCCGTATTTCATAGACTGTGCCTCAGCATTTGTCTGTTGTTCCCTCCTAAGATTCAATTTATGCACTTTTGGCAGGAATGCCACAGAAATGATGCCAAGTTTCTTTGTGTGCATCATACCATTTTTTGCTACCTTTTGAAGGAAGTGTTTATTTACATAAACTAATAGAATTAGAGAAGACTTAACCTGTTCAACAAAGCTAACTTACAAAATCATGAACCTTATTTTGTCAGTTAGATACAAAGGTGCAGCTACTGCCTTTTTCAGATTGACATTAGTGATTGATTAACACTGTCTGCCAAACGTATCTTCCATTAGGTTGATTACTTGTGTCTATTTTTAAGCAAATTATATCCCAGAAAACAGACCATGACTTAAACTCTTTTTCTATTGTTGAATGTTTAAGTGATTTACAATTTGGGACAATGAACTTCTTCACACATATATCTTCTCTGCATATAATTGAAAAACAGTTTAATTTTTAACAAGTTATAAAGGTAATGATGCGCCAATAGATGCATACATAGTTAGAAAAGTGGGGAAAAAAATCCCTCAGGAAATAACTACAAATGTCATCAATAAGGGTAAATGAGATTATTTGGGATATAACAATTGCTGTTTTGCTTTTATAACTTAAATCTTCATGAATATTGTTTGCTGTCCTACCTATTAGCAGTCCCCATTTCCCTGCCCCTAGCAACTGCTAATTTACTTTGTCTCTGTGGATTTGTCTATTCTGGACATTTCATATAAATGAAATCAGACAATATGTGGCCTTTTGTGACTGGCTTCTTTCATGTAGCATAATGTTTTCGAGGTTCATCCATGTTGTAACTTGAGTCAGTATTTTTTTTTATGGCTGAATAATAAATATTCCATTGTATAGATAGACCACGTTTTGTTTATCCATTCATCAGTTGGTGGATGTTTGGGTTGTTTTCATTTTTTGCCTATGATGAGTACTGTTAGGAACATTCACATACAACTTTTTTTGTTTAGACATATATTTTCAATTCTCTTAGACACATACCTAGAAGTATAAAGTCCCAATTTCTCTACATTCTCGTGAACAGTTGTTATTAAGTGTCCTTTTGATTATAGCCACCTTAGGGGGTGTGAACTGATATTGTGGTTTTGATTTGCATTTCCCTAATGACGAGTGATGTCAAGCATCTTTTCATATGTTTATTGGTCATTTTTATATCATCTTTGAAGATCATGTGGTTCATGTCTATTCAAAGTCTATAGGGCCGTATTTTCTTGGGTTTAAATATGTCTGGGTCATGTAATTTTTTGTTAAAAACTAGACATTTTCAATAACATGATGTAGCAATTCTAGAAATCAGATTCTCCTCCCTCCCCAGGGTTTCTTGTTGTTTCTTTGCTTAGTTACTTTTCTGAATTAATTATGTAAAGTTTCTAGGGAAAAGGCTGTTGAAAGTAGATAAGCTTTGAGTCAGGTAAGATAAAGACAGCCTTGGGTGTGTGGTCTTTCAGAACCAATAGGTCAAAGGACAGTTCTCTGGGAAGGGAGTTTGAAGGAGCACCAACTCCATTTTGTCCCCCTCCGCCCCCCTATTGAATGCCAGGCTCCTAGTTTTCAAGGCCAATGCAGAGCTTAGGGGTGGGTGGCAAAAGAATAATGCAAGTTAAAAATACTGTAAAGATCGCTGTTCTACTCAAGATTTGGCCTCTTCTATGAGTAAATGCTCCCCAGATTGCTGCAAGCTTTCAGTTCATTTCCAGAGTTCTGAAAAAGTTGGTTTTGCCAAGGCTCTCAGTGTATGAATGAGAGAATTTTCAGAGGTCCTTACTCTTATTTTCACTGATGTCACCGCTGTTTGCTTCCTACTTCTAGAGTCGATGATTTACAGTTTTTATTTGTGTGCATATCAGCATTCTAAAAAAAAAAAGAAAAGTCATTTTTGTGTTCTAGCATTATTATTATTATAGAGACCGGTGATTTTTTTATTAACATGATTTTTTTAACAGAACCTTACTAGAAATCAAGAAGCTGTTGCAAAAGAAATGAGAGAAGATGCCGACGCCTATAGACGAAAAGTGAATCTTGAAGAACACACGTTCCATAGACTGATAGAAACAGATCAAACTCAGAACCAAAAAACCCAGAAGGTAAAAATACAGTGAACTGAGTGTATATAGAGAGGGGGAAATTTCCGTCTGTCATCGTTTTAAAAGAAGGAATTCAAAACCGAACTCCATAAAGTTGAGTTAACCCATTTCTTTGCTTCATTATCACAGTTCCTAGAATCTCACATCATTTTATCTACAGGTTACTTCATTGCCAGCTATATACATGTCATTTATACTCAGAATTTTAAGACTTAGAAGAACATACAAAGGAAGTAGTCACTTTATAAATTTTAGTATCTACTTGGGTTAAATCTCAGAAATTGTCACTGAGTAGATTAGTTCCAGTCTACTAATTGGAACTGGCATATAAGCCAGCATTTTCAAGGTGTATTCTGTGAAATATTAGTAACTATTATTCAATAAAATGGGAGATGACAAATAAGTGTTGGAAATGCTGTGTTAAAGTTAGGGGGTTTTTTTGTGCCAAATTTGAGGATATGGTACATTGTGAATTTTTAAGAAAAATTCCCAAACTTATTTTACAGAATTTCTTGTGGAGAAATTCAGTCTTAAATGAATTGAAACAGAACTTGAGACCTTCAAGAAAGAAATTTCTCTATTATCCTTTAAATAGAGTTAAGTAGGTCTGTGGCAGGGCCTGGCCCTGGTCCACAAGCAGGAATGGTGTACAGTTTTCCTTCCTCCTGTTCTGCAGCAGTTTCATGGCTGATATGCCCAGAACATCCCACCATTTTTTTTTCCTTAAAGACTTTTGTCCTGTCTATAAGAGTGGGCTCTTCTGACTCCTTTTCAAACGGTTGAAATGTGGAAATTGTTTAATCTCATTTATCCCTTAGCCTGGAAGTTCTCAGCCATGGCTATACATTCGATTCACCTGAAGAGCTTTCTAAAAGTATCAATAGCCAGCCACCCCAGCGATTGAAGTAATTGGTTTGTGGTGGGTCCTGGATATCAGTTTGTTTTTAAAACTGGGGTGATTCTCATATGCACCCAGGGTTACGAACAGCTGCCCTAGACATTGGGATACATAAGTGGATATACCACAATTATATATAGTGTGACCTTGTTTCTGAAATTTACAATTTTTCTTAGTTAATTGAAGAAAACTTGGCAAAAGCTGAACAAGCATGTCTAAACACGGACTGGCGAATTCAAGCTTTACATAAACAGAGGTGTGATGATGTACAGCGAAACGAATGTTACCAGGAAATGGCCAAACTCCTCCGGAAAAACAGAAGGAAAGAAACAGAAGTATTAAATGCAATGATGGAGAAGGAAACTAAAAAGGTAAGAAGGGCGTTTTAAACTTCTTGTTATTAATCATTTACATTTTGAAATACTACCTAATCGAATAACAAAAGCATCAAACCAAATCATTTTTTGTTGGAAAATATCTTAAAGATGATCTAATTATAATAGGTATTGCTCAGGGAAGAAATGCAATATTGATGCTACCTAAAAATGACTAAGCTTCTTTGTTATTTACATGAGTGTCTCCCAACTTCTCAGCTCCCTGAATTTGTTCTGGCTGATTGCATAACACTTACCTAATTCTTTATACTTACAGTGTATAAGATTTTGAACAGTTAAGAATTATTATAGTTGCTAGTAACAAAAACCAAAACAACAATGACTGTAAGTGAGATGGAAGTTTTTCTTTTTCACATGAAAGAAGTCTGGAGGTAGGCAGTCCAGGGCTGGTATCCTGACTCCAAGGTCATCAGGGAAACCGCCTCCTTCAGCCTTTCTGCAGTACTTCCTGGTATATGTCTTCCATCCTCAAGGATGCCTTACCATCCAGCATGACTGGAGTTCCGGCCACCACATATTCAGCAGGGAGGAAGCAGGGCAGAAGGGCAAAAGGTTCCACCTCCCAGCTTAGACAGTTCCTTTGAACTCCTTTCCAGAAGTCCTGTGTCACCTTTCCACAATCCATTGGCTGCAAAGGATGTTGGAAATGGAGTATTTTTAGCAGGGAGCATTATCGTCCCAAATAAAATTAGAATTCTATTCCTAAAGAAGAATCAGAAAATGGATTTTGAGGAGACAGCGTAAGGGTGTCTATCCCACATACATATCTTTTGGTTGAGCCTCCCTGAACAGCTCAGGAACTATGCCCTGTACACACCATAGACACAGTGGCCTTCCCTGAGGGCCCTGAAGGGCTGGGGAGGGATCGGGAACTAGACAAGTGGCTTTAGTTCATCCCTCTTTCTGCGTCTAGATCATAATGTCTGTTCTGAGCTTTTCAGAAGATATTCCCTTCAAGTCACTATTCCACATTCATTTTCCTCCTACGCCATCCCAGGGGTGTGGGGCCTTTCATTCATTCAAGGTCAAGGAGGGGTGGGAGTGAGGCTATTCCCCTCAGGAAAATAGTGGTAGAAGCCTACATCTTCAAGGTAAGGAGTGCTGACACCGCGGCTAGACTGTGTAGTTAGGTGTACTGTCCTTTGGGTAAAACGCTGGATTTGACAATAGGCTGAGAACCGTTGAAAGGGCTTTTCACGCTATGTGGAATCCTTCTTTGCGTCTAGTGTCCTGGCTTCTAAAGCTGGCTTGACTACTGTGTGGCCTTCGAGGGTCACTCAGGCTCAGTCCCCTCATCAGTAACCCGAAAGGGATGGATCTCTGTGGTCCCCTCTGGCCCTAATGATTCTTTAAAATTTTTGCTATTTAATGCATATTTAATTCATTAGCTTTTCTGTGACATAAAAATTTTATGTGTGTTTGCATATAAAAAAAGCTGTAGCATCTCTAGAACACTGGTAAGCTTTAGGAATTATATGGTGTTTTAAATTGATTCTTTTAGTTACCCTTTGAGCCAATTTTAAGATTATTGTTTTTTTACTTTAGGAAGAAGGGCTAATAGAGATTACCTGACTCCCTATAGTCGTTGTGTGTACCAGAGCTGGGCAGAGAATCCATTGTCTGCAACATGATGACTGTAGCTAACACTGCTGTGTGGTACATAGGAAAGGTGTTAAGAAAGTAAATCCTCAGAGTTCTCATCACAAGGAAAACAATTTTTCCTTTTATTCATTTTTTTCATATCTATATGAGAAGATGGATGTTAGCTGAACCTGATGTAATCATTTCACAATATGTGTAAACCAAACCATCGTGCTGTATGCTTTAACCTTATACAGTGATGCATGTCAGTTATTTCTCAATAAAACTGGAAGAAAAAAAGAATTCATTCTCTGAATTTTGCAGACCTTATTATTAAGGCATAGCATTCAAATTAAATGAAACAGTTGCCATTAATTTTAAAAACAACTAGCCTAATTCCATAAGATTTGAGATTTGGGATGTATCAAAACCAATTGTTACTTCAGTGACAGTTGGGACCTATAGGTGTGCACGTGGCCCTCGGGTCCCGGCGATACATCAGAAGTGCCTCTCCTTTAAGGTTCTGCAGCAGCCTTGGGCCGGGGCAGGCTCCCAGGTTACCCGAATACCAAACAGACCCTGTGTGCCTGGAAGTTTAAAAGGAGGTGGAGCAGAGGAAACAGAAAGAGCTTCTTCCACTGTAGGAACTTGCATTACCGCAATTTTTATGTGATTTTTTTTTTCACTTATTTGTATTTAGTGGAAAGAAGCGGAAGAAAAAGACTTTCGTTTGAAATCAGAAAAGAAAGCTTCTGCTCTTTCCGATGCCTCTAGACAGTGGTTTCTAGAGAAGGAGATAAATGATGCGTTGGAGCACATTGAGCATCCCTATGATGAAGGTGAGTGCCCGTGAAGGCCTTTCTCTCTCTCCATTCATTGCATGCAGTCTGTTATCGTGGATAAATCCTTGAGGTGCATTTTGGCACTTGGTATTCAAATTGTTGCTCAGCTAAAAAGTAATCACTAGTCACCATTTTTTGGTCAGAGAGTGGGCTGAGGATGTTAAGCTGCTAAAACCAACTCCAGTCAAGAAAATTTTTTCAGCCATCCTGTAGAATTCTGTTTTATTCCATGGTTCCATGGCCCTTAGCATCTGCTTAGTGTATTAGATAGAATACGATTTGTTCCCAAAGTGCTATTTCTAGTTTATTTTAATAAAAATTTCTGCTTTACCAATAGCTGGTCCTCAGGACAATAGTATATTAAAGTAGCACAAGGAAACTTACGATAGGATCTGATCAAGCATTAGGTTTTGGTGCAAGGCTTATAATGACATCAACTGAAAAATCAAAATTATAATTTAAAATTCTAAAGTAGAGTACAGGTACAGGGAACTTTCATATCACCATATTTTGTATTGTTTCAGCCTTTTATAATGTATATCTATTACTTTTTTTTAATAACAGCCTTATTGATATATAATTCACATGCCGTACCATTCACCCTATTTAAAGTGTACAATTCGATGGTATTATAGTACCATATGTTAAAAAGTATGTTCAGCTATGCAACCATCACCACAGTCAAGTTTAGAAAATTTTCAGCACACCAAAATAAACTGTACCCATTTGCAGTCATCCCCCATTTCCTGTCACTGTCCCCATCCCCCACCCCGGCAACCACTAATCTACTTCCTGTCTCTATGCTTTGCCTATTCAGGAAATTTCATATAAATGGAATCATACAGTATATGGACCTTTGTGTTTAACTTCTTTCACCTAGCATAATGTTTTGAGGTTCATCCATGTTGTAACATGTATTAGTACTTGATTTGTTTTGAATAATATTCCATAGTATGAACAGTCCACATTTTATTTACCCATTCGTCAGTTGATGGACATTTGCTTTGTGTCCACTTTTTTGGCTATTATGAATAATGCTACTATGTGCATTACTTTTAACAATTCACAAATTTGAAGAGTAAAAATATAGGTTAGATGCTGTCATCATTTAATTATGCCTACTTTTGAAAGCCCTCATTACCTCTCATACTTTAGATTTAGGTCCCAAAAAGCAACCAGAGCCCTTGGGGAAAGTGGGGAGTGGAATGTCCCTGTTAGCACAAACTATTTAAAATTGGCTTGCAAAAGATACTAACTGGAGCTGGCACTTCTCCCTAACCCTGTTTCACTTACCCCTACCTTAGAAAGAAAAAAAGTTCTTGAGGCTCTTAGGGTACAGATGGATCCAGAGAGAGAAAACGGGAAGAAACTGCAAAAAGCTGCTCTCATCAGTAGTCTTCTGCCTCTATGCTGTCTTCCCGTCATGCTACCTAAATTTTTTTCTTTTTTTAAATTTTTTGGAGGAACAGCCATGGTCATTGATTACACATTGCTTTCATGCTACAATGGCATAGTTGAGTCTTTTAAAGAGGGCCCAGCTCCCAGTGGCCCATGCGGGGATAGACCTGGCGACCTTGGTGTTATCAGCCTGACACTCTAACCAACTGAGCTGACCAGTCACCCACCCCATCCCCCTAAATTCTTTTAACTTTCCTAAATTTCACAAATGAGAATTCAGTTAATAATCATCCATTTTTCAAAAGGTAAACATGTAAGGATTTGTCCTTTCCTTAATCAGGTTGTGTAAATTAAACCAGAGTCATTTAATCCTAAACCTAGGAGATAATCAACTACAGTTAGGAAAATGGCATTTGGATTGGAGGTGCCCAGCATCTGTTTGTCACTCAGGGCTTAGGAGGGAGGCATCAGGAAGTAGGAAGCACTAGACTGTGCTGACGACACAGCCAAGGGGAACCGTTAGCTGTGGAACAGAGATAAAAGTCACAACATAGCTCTTTGGGAAGAAGAGTTCAACAGCTGTGGGCAGGATGGATTTAGGCGGACAGATTTAGAGACAAAAACTGATCTCAGATTTGAAAGGATCTGAAGAACTGGTATCTGATAAGTGAATCTTCTCTGCAGCCGTGGTCATCCAGCCTATTACAGAATACTTACAGAGCTGGCCAGCTCAGTACCTTATCCCATTTTCTGCCAGCATCTTACTAGTTATTTTTTCCTTATGTAAAGTTGCATCTGTTTTTCTTTCCTTTTTTTTTTTTTTTAACTCTCTCATTAGAAACTGTTCTCTGGAGCAATGCAGATTACATTTAATACCTCCGCCACATGACAGCCCTTCAAATATTTAAAGATGACTCTCACATTCCATCCCCCACACCAGTTCAAATTAGTCATTTGGTAATTAGCCAAATTGTTGTAATGACTCATTGAGTTAAAACCATTAGCTGAACCTCTTGCAATCGGTAAAAGCAGGCACCTTCATGAATCAGGGTGACCCGAACAGTCTGGGCCTGACTCACGGAGGCTTGAACCCTGGGAATGGAAGTAGAAAGGGAGGGACAGTTGTAAGTGACATTGGAATGAAATCTCAAAAAGACTTCGGTGTCTTGTTGCATGTAAAGCTGTAGGAGTTAGGGAACAGTAAAAACACAACTGAAGGATGAGTATAAATTTTGAAATGAGGGGAGTGATTGATTAGAAAATAGGGGGAGGCGCCAGTTGGGTGTGGACAACTGCTCTGCCCAAACCATAAGAAGGCGTCAGGTGCAACAGGCTGTCGCTGGCCCCGATGGGCTGTGGATTGCTGCGACGCGGCCCTGCCTGGTGGCGGCCAGTGGCGATCAGCTCACAGCAGTTCTCAGGGAAGGCTTGCCAATCACATATCATAATGCCTTCCGTTATCAATGTTTGGGCGCTCTCTATCCTAACATCTCCATTTCTGAGTTGTTTGTTGGCTTTTTATTTTAGCTAAAGGTGTTTTTAAAGTACTTTACCAGAACTTCGGCTCAGCTCTTAAAGTTCTCCCTCACTGCACTTTCCTTGTCTTTTCAATGGTGTTACAGTCATCGTCTCAGCATTCTTAGAATTGAAAAGTTAAGGGGCTTTTTATCCTTAGCAATTTCCATGTACGAGGGACCATTTAGAGTTAACAACGGCTTTCTACTCATGCCCAAACATCCCCCTTATGGCTTCACTTGTATAACTGTAGGGTCCAGATGCCAAAATGAACAGGCCGCCTCCAGCTGTT